TGTTGTGTACCTCTGTAATACTGTAATATGTGTTGTGTACCTCTGTAATATGTGTTGTGTACCTCTGTAATATGTGTTGTGTACCTCTGTAATATGTGTTGTGTACCTCTGTAATATGTGTGTTGTGTACCTCTGTAATATGTGTTGTGTACCTCTGTAATATGTGTTGTGTACCTCTGTAATGTGTTTGTTGTGTACCTCTGTAATATGTGTGTTGTGTACCTCTGTAATATGTGTTGTGTACCTCTGTAATATGTGTTGTGTACCTCTGTAATATGTGTTGTGTACCTCTGTAATATGTGTGTTGTGTACCTCTGTAATATGTGTGTTGTGTACCTCTGTAATGTGTTTGTTGTGTACCTCTGTAATATGTGTGTTGTGTACCTCTGTAATATGTGTGTTGTGTTACCTCACAGGTGTGAGCCACCTGCAGAGCGCCCTCGGTGGTGATGTCACAGGTGGGCGGGCTCATGTTACCCAGCATGTTGTAAAGCAGGAAGTCTTCGTCTTCTTTGGACTCTCCGTTCAGGTCCAGCTGGTAAGACGAGCCGTCCTGCTGAAGCCCCGCCTCCAGCCCCTCCTCGGGACAGCAGGTGAGAGTGGGCGTGGCATGGCGTTGCAGCAGGTGGTTGCTGATGGCTGTCTTCAGGCCACAGGTGAACTCACAAGCTTTGCAGCGATACAGTTCCACCATGAAGGACTCGACCAGAGACAGACCGTCCACGTCCTCACAGAACAGGCTGGAGCTCATGGCTCCGCCCACTACCTGCAGAGTCACAGGACTAATGTCCCTGAACCTCTGGGTCACCCACGACATCACCACTGGTGGGTCAGGACCTCCTTCAGTCTGATTGGACAGATATTCATGATGTCATCGTTGCTTCACACTGCACAACAAACAACCAATCAATCAATCAACTTAATTTACAGAGCACATTTTAAACCATAAGAGCAAACAAAGTGATGTACAGTGAGACAAGTTAAAACAATAAAAGAAACATAAAACACACATCAGATCACAGCAGGTGAACACACGTCGACAATATAAACACAATCACATTGTGTTAGAAGCAGAGAATAAAAGTGTGTTTTTAACAGATTTACAAACAGGAAGTGATGAAACCTGTCTGACACTCAGGAGAACAATGGGCCTCTTCCTTTTGTTCGTACAAAGGGTTCGTACGAACATGTCACGTCAGATTCAACAAACTCTTCTATCTTCAGGAAAAGTGTGTAAATGAGCTGCGTAAATTCACC